ATAGCCGCGATTTCGTTGTCCGTGTTGGATGCGGGCTTGATAATCGCTCGACAGTTATGTTCGCTGTCGTTGGAGTTGTTGCTGGGTCCGGCCCTTCCCACGTGACTGATTTTCTTGCTCGGGCAATGTCTCAGTACGCAGTATGGTAACGCCAAATCGTTGCGCTTGTTGCTTGACTGGGGGCCTGAGAACCATGACTCGAGCAGCTCGTAGCTCACGCAGTTGTCACCTCTTGCAAGGATTTCGGCCTCGTTAAACTTTCAAACATGACCAAGTTCCGTTGACCGAGCTGCAACCTTGGAGTTAGCGTCTTTCCTCCTCACAGCCGCTGCGTGCTCGGCCATTCGCGTCCGGAGTAACTTCCCAGTTTCTCCGAAGTAGTTGCTTTGTCCACAACTGCACCAGATCCGGTAAACGACTCCAGCCACTTCCTGCCGTGGCACTGGGTTTTTCTGTCTCATTACCCGGTGACTTATGGTTGCTTCTGGCTTGTACGCAACGCCAACTCTAAGTGGGGTGAGAAGGCGGCTGACTGCTTCTGATACCCTCTTCACGCACGGAAGAACTGGCCAAACTTTTGGACCAGTTGGATTTGGTTTCTTGTCTTGACTGCGTATGCACTGGTTGCCAGTGGTCGCCGATGCCTCTCCTTTGCATTAGCGACAAAATGTCGTGATGACGTAGCTTTAGTCTGCTCGTCTGTTGGTTTAATAGGGAAATGCCCCTACTTTATTCCAATACGCAGCTATTTTACCACGTTTGTGAATGAAGACACTTCGAAATTTGCTTTATTTATTTATACCTTGAACATTATTTCCGTCAGAGTTATGATATTACTGCCACCTTTGTTCCCATCAGAACACATACCTTGAGGCGTCAATGTATGAGGTATCGAATGAGGCGAACGAACTGCGTCGGCGCATAGACTTTGAATTAGCCGAGGCGGCTAAGGAAAGAGAGGCAGCAGAGGAGGCACTGGCCCGTGCGCACAACGAAATGGCCGCGCTGATGGACGTGAAGCTCAACCTCGAAGCAGAAATTGCCGCCTACAGACGCCTTCTGGAGACCCAAGATGGCATCATGACTGCCGTTTCTGGCAAGTCCTCGCCAGACCTGAGACGACCAAGGGACAGTTATCAGCAGTACTACACCGCCACCTCCTCACGTCCCAGAATGTCTAGTTTGAGTCCACAGCGACGTTCAGACGATCGCTCCGTGCCAGTTCCAGTCACTGATATGCAAGTGCACCAGACATCTAATTCATCTATGACAGAGTTTTTTACTTGGTTTTAAATGCCATATGAATTTGTTTTTTTTTAATACGATTTACACGTAGCTTTGCATTCGGGGGCACTGGAGCTCAGAAAACTTCGGCATAAGACGGGCCACTTTCAAAGTCAGGTGCTTACGATGTGTGCATACAACACACGAACTAAGTAATGGGAGGAACAACAAAGTGATAGTAAAATAAAAATTAAAGGTTTTTCGCAATTGTTCGTATTACTGAACTCTTCACGTTATTATTTTTGACCACGGTGTTAAAAATCGACGAAACACATTAACTGATTTTCTGACTGGCCACAGCAGTATGGACGGCCATCACTTCAGCTCACAGGAAATCTAACGAAATAGCTAAAGCCTCATTTTTAAAGTGATATTTTAGTACTACTTAGGCCACTGCAGAAAAAACACCCACTACAGCATAATTAAAGGTATGAGAGACGTCCAGTTAATTGCTTTTAAGATGCTCTTTTTGAATTCACCTACACTCCGCTGATGAGTAAGACATTCGCTTTGCGTGGCAAAGTCCAAAAATACATCTTTGCTACAGAACGCAGTTAATAAAACCGGATCTAGAGACATAGAGACTGAAAGTCTATATCTTTTATTTTCACAGAACACATTCAAGACTGATCCAAATTTGACATATTTGTTCATTAGGATCATTTTCAATTATTTATATTCATTATAAATGGATAGAAGTACGTTTTTCTATTGTCAGAAACTACCTTTAATACGCTACTTCGAAACACTAACTATAGAACGTACTTTTTCAACGAGCTTGGAAGATCCTTCTCTCTAACCGCTAAATTCTAATTTCTGTTGGTCGAATATTACTATCACGGCAAAATCCATAAACCGTATTTCAGTTGGCCTCCTGTAATAAGACTTCAATATCACACTTTACATTGTATATTTTGTAAAACATATACCTACCTCAATGGGTTTTTAGATTTAAGTGCTATCCGTATTCATTGAAATCGAACAATCCAATCAACTTATGAAAACTAATCTAACAAGCAGACATACTGTAAAACTGCCAATCTGCATGTGAAACAAGCCAAACAGTATGTAGGGAGGCAGCTTGCGATTCGTTTATCAATTGACGACGATTCCAGTCGACGTTAATTATAATTTTGTATGCAGCTATTAATAGCGCAATGCCACTTCAAGTACTGCTAAATTTTTGCTAAAACAAATGTTATTTATGCATGGTACTCCATCCAGGCTCTCTACTTGTCAAGCCAAACACCTAAGCTTAGTAGTACAAACTTATCAGATTTTTTCTAGACTTCCTGACACCTGGGTGAGACAGGCGCTTTCTGATTACGAGGAAATGAATCTAGCAGGAGTTAGCAGAAGGTTGTTTCTTGTTTGGGCAGTGCATCACTTCACGCGGAATAGGAGGGGGAGGAGCCATGGTGAGAGAAGTTGAAAGCCTGCGTTGGCAATATCCTCTCCAACAAATTAGCTTTTAGTAAATGGAGTGCAATTATGATTATAGCACAGCATGTCCCCTTCCTGTCCTCGTTTGAATGCGTATGGTGGTTTTAGCATGGTTTGAAAAAGTTCGGACTGATGTCGGCGATGCGGAAAACTGAACAAAACTGTGTTTCTTTGTTAGCTTTACGTCAACACTACGGTGGGGGGCAGCAAGACACGTAAAAAAAGAGAGTATTCGGAGTGAAAGAGAACCGCGCGCGTCAATTTCATTCACCCTCCTTCGGCAGTCTGAAAATCTTACCAAAGTTATTATTAGTGTTGAAAGGGGACAGTGGCCCTCGGGTAATTTCTAACTAGAAAATCGACTTTATTATACCTTATGCACATAATCTGCTAGAGGTCAGAAGCAGTGTTTTGGCGAGCAAACCTTCCAATAGTTTGGCAGATGTTGTCGGAGTGAAGGGGTACAAAGGAAACGTTCGAGCGCGATAGCCCGGCCACTTTATATGGCGAGGGCGCTCCTTATAAGGGTTGAGGCACGGCCAATATCGATCTTTCCTGTTGTTCAGTTAGCTAAAACAGCTCAATATGTGCAGATAAAGACTCTCTTAAGATATTCTCACCAATTTAAAGTAGCAGATGTTTCCGCCAAACAATCACCGGTACTAAATACTGATAAAAAATGTATCAGGCAGTGGTCGGGTGGTGAGATTTAAGGGCAAGTACGGGGGATCTTTGCTGTATTTTTATGACACAATTAGATTTTTTACTTTTATGTTTATTAAATTCTTTACAAAGCTGTTATCGTTCCTCACGCAACTTCTTCAGTACTCACCATAAGCAGTTAACAGTTGATGGTGAGTTGGGCTGTAGAGCAACAGAAACATATTTTGAAGCACGCCTTACGTGTATTTTTATTCTTTTGATCTATGCACGCGTGGGCGGTTTCAAGATTTAAAATTCATGTTATATTACGCTTGAATTTCATTAAGAATAGGAGAGAACTTTGAAGTCTGAAACAGTATTCACCTCCTACTACAATTATAAAAATGTCTGTTGTTTTACACTGGACAATATCTAGTTCAAAATTCGATGTTTTCTGATTAATAGAGCTCATCGCTTTCCCGAACGAAGCGAGCCCTCAGGGTCGTCACTCCGTTCGCGACTTGTCGAAGTGGATGCAGAAGGTGAGTTCGGCTTTTCATTGTGTCAACTTTTAGAGCCAGTGTGCACTATATGAATGCCGTCAATTAGCGTTCTTTCGATCACTTGATATTATATATATTACATGACAAGTGTTCATCAAGATTTATATTTATAATGGTGCTGAGTCGATTAAGACAGGCCAGAGATTGTGCTGAATCTAGTAAATTTTTACAGCAGAAGTGTTAAATTCTGAATATTTTTTAGCACAAAAGACTTAAAGCTGAAAAATTGATATCAAAACATATCGCTTATCTCTTCCACCAAAATTTTAGTACCTATTATTCATAGTTCAATTAGCCTGACCTGAAATGAAAAGTTGGCCTGCTTGTTTATCTGCGAAATCTAATTGGAGGTAGAAGATTAAATCACTGGAAGAAGGACTTCATTCAGTTTATGCCCCTACTGCCTACTCTCCCCCATGAAATGAAACGGCGAATCAACTGGTATGAACTTCTGGACGGAAAACTGCACAATCCGTGCGTTGCCTGATTAATGGTTCTCCAGTCTGTACTCCCGCGAAAAGTACAACGATTCCCCCTCTCTGTCCAGCCCTAGATCCCATTTGTGCTGAATGAGTACTTTGAAAGGGCGCGAGGGAACGCTGGCCTGAGTAGAATACTAAGAGACCGATCTTCACAGTTTTCGCACGAAAAATATCAAATTTAGTGACGATAAATTGGCAATTACCTATTTTGGCCTCGTGATCTAAAAGTGCCCCTTTCACACTATGGATAATACAATAGATGAAGGAGTCGCTAATTTTACTAGGTAAGTGACAGGTCATGAACAGTATCATCAACATTTTTCCTAATCTCACCTGTAAATGTCTACGAGGATTTGTTTCAACTTGAAACCAACGAGTCGGACAGAGAAATTCTCTCATCTACTTATCAGATTTACTCTTCTTAACGCCTTCCTATATGTAATTTTTTCGAACGCGACTGAGCCACCCAAGAAATTATTTCTGAATATCTTTTTATAAGGAAAGTTTAATAAGCCTTTGGTAGTCAATATTAATGGTGAACCAGTTGTCACAAGTGGATTTTTGTGTGTAGATGCTTCTTCTGCCAGCACCTGTTGATAGATCTACATGCGTTGAGTATCGCTCGCTGAGAGGTTGATATACTTAGCTCAAGGAATGCGCGAACACTAGAGTTGATGTGCCTCTAATGACCGTAGATGCTAAGTTAGTCCGAAAAACTAAGTTAAACCGCGATGGTAAAAATATCCTCCGAATATCAGATTTGTTGAATACGTTGCAGCTTTTAATTGATTGTTACATCTTTAGCACATCTTCATCGGTAGGTTGACATCGTTTAGTATTGTTAAAACAGCAGCAGTCCACAGAAACGAGTAAAGATTGTAGTGGACTGCTAATCAACCCTGTTTTAAATGTATACTAACTTAAACTATTGCCTACTGAGCTTTTTCTTGAAATAAGTAAGACTTTTTTCAAAAGGTGAATACAATTATAACTCCAGGCACCTTTGAACAAAACTTAAAGGAAGCAGCTTAAATAGTTTGTCTGTAGCAGTGAGAGAAACACAAATATTTTCAAAATCTTTGAATGAACGAATATCCCTCTTCTGTTATGCAAACGTATTTGCGTATCAGCATGGCGCTGTAGTTTTCATATTCAGATTGATGTTTAGCTATAAGCACTACTCAAAATGTTCAGACTGACGAAATAGAACTAGTTTACCACAAATTTCATCTCGGAAGCAGCAGTAGTATTCGTCTGAGATTGGAATTCAAACAGTAGCTAATCTTCAAAACTTGTCAATCCTATATTCTCCTCTATTAGTTTATTATGCATGTCTGAATACGATAAGCTACAAATAATTTTATTTTAAAAATATGATACCAATTACAAAACATACTTTTTTGTCAAACGGATCAAACTTTTCTCAAATTCCTAATTATTTAACTCAGTAGAACAGGCTTCTGTAGTTATTCGGTCAGGAAATACTTTCGGCCCTAATTGCTTCCAAAAAGTCGAAGCAATTTGACCAATCCTGACATATTGAGAGTTTGCTTTTGATGTGCTACCAATCCGAACGTGAGCTCCCGGACTTGATGTTATTCGTGTGACTTGGTCCCATTCTAAACGACTTCTAAAACTCCATGTATTCGCATCGAAATCATGCGTCCTGATTCAGCTTGGTATAACTGACCTGGCTGCAATGAGATTCATGAATCCGTTTAATTATAATTGAATATGCGAGTTCCAGGAAGCAGTTCAGAAGGTGAAGAAGCGACCACTGGAACAAGAGTTTTATTGTCCTGACGTTTCGGATTCCATCGGAACTCGCATATTCAATTCTAATTAAACGGATTCATGACTTTAGATGCATTAATTACTA